AATTCTTTAATGTTTTTAAACAGATTAATGCAGCAGGGGTAGTCAACCTGCTGCCCTCTAGATGTTCTTGGAATCCAGCTTTCATCAGTAAAAGGGATATTCTTATGCTTCCCCAAAAGTTACTGTAGTAGAAACCAGGTTACATGAATCGATTATGCTTGAACTATTTATTAGGGCAGGTATATATGAAAAACTATTAGAACTGGCTTGCACTCAGTCCCTTTATTCATCAGATAATTAGGGGCATTAAAAGGAACTGAAAAAGCAGAGACATCACCTTGCCAACAAACGTCCGTATAGTAAAAGCTATGGTTTTCCCAGTAGTGATGTATGGAAGTGAGAGCTGGACCATAAAGAAGGCTGATCACCGAAGAATTGATGCTTTTGAGTTATGGTGTTGGAGGAGACTCTTGAGAGCCCCATGGACTGCAAGAAGAACCAACCTATCCATTCTTAAGGAAATCAGCCCTGAGTGCTCACTGGAAGGACAGATCATGAAGCTGAGGCTCCAATACTTTGGCCACCTCATGAGAAGAGAAGACTCCCTGGAAAAGACCCTGATGTTGGGAAAGATGGAGGGCACAAGGAGAGGGGACGACAGAGGACGAGATGGTTGGATAGTGTTCTCGAAGCTACCAGCATGAGTTTGACCAAACTGCAGGAGGCAGTGGAAGACAGAAGTGCCTGGCGTGCTCTGGTCCATGGGGTCACAAAGAGTCGGACACGACTAAACAACAGCAATTTATTAGAGCAGGTGTATATGAAAAGCAACTATTAGAACTGGCTTGCACTCAGTCCCTTTATTCCTCAGATAATTAGGGATATTAAAAGGAACTTACAATGAAATATGGACATCTATAGTTTCCTAACTGTTGTAGACAGGTTCTGGAACGCACTGAAACTTACATTTTCCTTCTTTTATCTCTTTCTCCTTTTCCTTCTTCTAAAAATGCCACTTAACGAGGCTCATATCTAAGTATTGTGATCTGGTAAGCTTATTAATTTGGGTGCAAAAATGAATCACAGAGTTCTGTGAACATGTGCTTTCAATACTACATGCCAATTTAATCAGCAAGCTGCTATGTGTTGCACATCACTGCCCTATTCCAGGTGGTTGGTCATAGGCACAGTTTGATACATAGCACATTGCAGAAGCTTGTGTATATGGCATAAGTCAGTGTATATACACAAAGCTTGTGTATATGGCATAAGTCAGTGGACATGCACAACAAATAAAAATTAATAATTCTAGCATCTAGCATCAGAAGCCTACTTAAGCCAAATTCATACACTACTTTGGTGTTGAAAATGGCACCTTTGTTAGGCAAATGTATGCATTGGTGAACTGTATCATAATGTGAGGAGATCCTGGCATGGGAAGAATGCATATCACTATTAGGAGATATTTCCACACACTGCCTTTGCACTGGTGGAACTAGCCACTGGGGAATTGTTTTGTGACTGATCTCTTACCTGGGTTTCTGGTCAATGGATGAAGAAGTCTTCAGTGGGTCTTCTATTCAGAACCTCAGTTAGCTAGCACAGACTTGTTGGAGTTATTAAATAGTGGACAACTGCCATCAGTGAGCTAATACATACACACTATCAAATCATGGAAGTTGTTTCAATGCATGTGATTAACAGGGTTAATAATTAGCCATATTTTCTTAAATATGTTGCATAGGATGATATTATTCATATGCTTGAAGTTCTCATTTCCAAATATCAGTTTTGATTTTGAGACAATTAATTACATATTTATTTATTTATTTATTTATTTAAAAACAACCTACTGGTTTAAAAGAGAAATAAAGCCACTGAAAGGTGGAGCAGTTATGTATTTATTTTATTACTTCATTTAGTGTTATCCCCTAGTGCCATCTCTGGCTGAAACTCACTGAATATGAGAGGGCTAACAAGCATTTCAAGGAGAAAATGAAGTGTAATGTGTTTGACAACTTCTTGCTTAGGCAGGGAGCTGGAAGTCCTACTGAGCTTGCCACCTTTTCAAGCTGATAATCAAACACTGCATTTGACTGCTTCTCTGACTAAGTCCCCTGTTTCCATGCCATTCCTGCTCCTAATAAGAGGTTAGCAGGCCTGAACACACCAAGGGAAAGCACACACATTATCTCCTATTTCAAATAATCATTGTCTTAACAGACAATGTCTTAAATTCTGATGTTCTGTTTATTTGCAGGGGTAGGCAATGCAATGCCTTCCAGATATTTCTGGACTACAATTCCCATAATGCCTGACTATTTGTCATGTTGGTTATAAGTGTTGTAGTCCAATAACATCATGATGGCTAGGTAAAGGTAAAGGACCCCTGAGAGTTAAGTCCAGTCACGAACGACTTTGGGGTTGCGGCGCTCATCTTGCTTTACTGGCCGAGGGTACAGCTTCCAGGTCATGTGGCCAGCATGACTAAGCCGCTTCTGGTGAACCAGAGCAGCGCACGGAAACGCCGTTTATCTTCCTGCCGGAGTGGTACCTATTTATCTACTTGCACTTTGACGTGCTTTTGAACTGCTAGGTTGGCAGGAGCTGGGACAGAGCAACGGGAGCTCACCCCATTGCGGGGATTTGAACTGCCAACCTTCTGATCGGCAAGTCCTAGGCTCTGTGGTTTAACCCACAGCGCCATTCGTGTCCCAGCGCCACCCGTGTTGGCTACCTCTGGCCTATTAATCTGAGTGGCCCGTCTCATTTTGCCTCCTGAGGAAAGTGCTGCCCTGCACATGTGCCATGTGCCTTGCCCCCCCCCTGCCAAAGTCTTTGTTACTGGGATCACACAGCTGTGGTTTTCTGGTTCTGGTGAGATCTTACAAGAGCCCCATGAGATCTTACGCAAACCCAAAAGCAGCCACAGCTGCTTCTCCTCGCTTTTCCAGTGGCAGCAGAGAAGCATCAAGGAAGGCACCCCTTGGATTCTACTGCCTGAGGCAACTGCCTCAGTATGCCTCATTGATGGGCCAGCCCTGATAGTTTCCCATGAAAGAGCAATAGTAAAAGCCTTCCTGATTTCTGGAATAATAAAAGAGATCAAAGTAAGAACCTGAAGCTGAGTCCAGATGGACAGAGTTTCAATACTGGTCCATTTCCTATGGAAGCTTATGTCTCAAGTTCTTTATTTGATAGGAGACTAACAGCAGAATCCTAAGCATAATTACTAAGTAGTAAGCCACATGGACGTGACCAGGCTATTCCCTAATCAGGAACTGAGTTGTGTTTCCCAAGTCTCCTGAAAAAAGAGGATATCAAAATTAACGATAAACATCTTAAACTCAGCACCATTAGATTGAGTCTTCCACGAGAAATAGTGGTGGAAGGGGCTCACAAAAATAGGGATTATAAATATCTTTTTGATTCTGAAATTAGTAACCCTGCACCAGAGGTGTGTTAGAAGGAAAGGCTTAAGGTCAGTTTTATATTGCCAGGTTCTGTTTCCTTTTCCAACAAGCTCAGTTCTCGTTTAATGATCTGAGATTCTGGAGACATGTTGTCAACCCTCCTATAAACCCATAGCATGCTGGTGTCATCCCTGAGTACCATGTATGCTCTGCCCCTGGAACTACAAATTGCAGAAGGTTCTATTTTTCTCCTCTCCTCCCCCATGTTCCTGGTCCTCTGACTCTTAGCAGACACTGTTCTGGAGACCCTAAGACGAGAATCATAGTGAGATGGAAAGGAGTGATAATTCCTTTGCAATCACAGCAGTGTTAAATGTAATCTCCTGTGTTTTGTGAGTTTATTAGAAAAAAACAAATGAACTACAAAAATACAAGCAAATACAGCACACTTGCTTCTATCGGTCAGTAAATTTGAATGATATATAATGATTTTGTCAGGCAACGTGTTCCTGTTAGAAATTTACACATTTTCCTAAAATGCTCATCAGCCTGTGAAATGATTCAAAGCTTATTAATGCATGAAGGCAGATCTGGAATTTCCACATTATAAGCACCTGCGATAAACTTGTGGATCGACCATCTGCTGCTCTGAAATGTCAGGTTTATGCTTACTAGTGGAGGCCATTTAGATTCCCGTTTTCATGGTGACAGTTCAGAGTTCCTGTTAGAGAGATGCAAAACTGGACACTGCTACATTGTTTGGGTCCCCCGAACTATTCCACAGATGAATTCAGTTTGCATGTAAAAACCTTTCTGAAAATACAAGCAGTGCTTCATGGTATTTTCGTACTGTACTGAAATGTACAACCAGTTAATGGTGTTAACAGCACATTTGTGTAATAGGAACAGAAGGGGGGGGAGTCAATCTTACTCATCAAGTTAAGCAGCTGGCTAAATCAGGAATTAACCCCATACATAAATGCATACATAAAATATAATTCCACAGCTAAAACAGTATCTTAATTTCACATTACATATCAGTTATAAAGCTGAGATTCAGACGCATCCGGTAGCCTATGTGAATAAGGAAGAAACTCACATTGTCTATGTCAACTGCATTATGAACACAATTCTGAAAGGAAAAGGAACAGTGGCGGCAACAAAATAAACAGTAATTGATGTTTCCAGAGCATAATATTGGCATCCCTTTAAATTCTATTATAATGGCTTTCTCCCTGAGACTCTGAATATGCACAGGATATTTCACCCATGAAGGGTGGAACTACGTTTCTTTGCTGCTTTGAAAGATCCATAACTCAAAAGGCCCTAAGGCGAAGTGAACACTGAAAGGTGGTTTTTCTTTGCTTTAAAAAACAAGTGAAAAGGAATCACAATCACCCTTCATGGGTGAGATATTCTGTTTGGTCTTTGGAGACTTAAAATATATAGAGCTTTTTGAAAGACAAATAGAGTCCTGAGGTTGGACAGTGAGAAATGAATGTAGAAGGCACCTACAGTGATGTAAGCTGTAAGAGAGAAATTG